GGCTCAGGGTTGAAAAGCTAGGTTCCCTCCACCCTGCTACCTTAGTAAGTTCTGCATAGGTGGAGTGCCTTTTCACTTTGCAATGGGTAGGGAAGTGCCACCTATTGTTTATTTTCAGTTTTTTGGGATCTCTGTAAAATCATCACAGGAAGGGTCTCATTTGGCTATGCTGTTAGGTGGATGTGCTACATATGCAGATGGGTGCTTGTTACGTATCATGGAAGAAGGTACTTGTAAACGGGCCCATTTGTGCCTGGGGAGTGTATGTGGGGCTGGGGTATACGTATATGGATGTATACATATAGGTACACATATACGTATATATGTGTGTGATGTGTGAAGCTGATCTCTGTAGATATATGCATTGTATGTGCCTATAGACACTTGTACATTGGATATGTCCGTACATGTACAGATCTCATCTGTAAATGCCAAACCATCCGTTTTCCCCCTGGCTCCACTTGCTCCAGTACACAACACTCCTTCCAGAACTTTGAAGGCCCCTCTGGTACATCAAGAGAAGCAAAAAGAACCTGAGTCCAAAGCGGGCCCTCACCAGCCTGGAAAGCATGACATACCCTCCTTACAGCTGCATGATGAAGTGCAGGCGCTGTGAGGGAAAAGTGATCACAGCCGTGCTTAAGTAGAGCGAGGTATTGGTCTTCTTCCCACTGAAAAGACTGAGAACAATGATTTGATTTGCTTTAAAGCAAAAGGCCCCTCCCCTGGTTTTGCCTCTTAGCTGAAGTCAAGGGGGTGAGGGGGAGAGATTTTTGCAAAGATTATCACATTTGTGAATCGAGGTTCTATCCCCTTCATCTTGGCACATGAGCCACATAAGCAGTCCACGTGAGCCTTAAGTACCTGCCATGTGACAGTCATCCCCATGCCTGTGGTGTCACGGGGTAGTTTTGTGACTGCACAGAGGCCAGTGTATGTATGTATGTGTGTGTGTGTGTGTGTGTGTGCGCGCGCGCACATACGTGTGTATGCATGTGTATTTTCAGCCCTCTGTGAGGGAAATCGGGTGTGTGAATGAACACTCCTGAAATATGTCTTTCTGGAGTGCCAGGGGCCCATTTCTGTGGCAACGGAGAGAGAAAGCCAGGGAATCAGGGAAATGCTGCCAGATGCCATGGCTAGGGCAGCTTTGCCACAGTGCACAGGAAGGAAGGATCCCAGCTAAGTGGGGAAGGGGTAGGGGGGGTTGTGCTCTGCTTGTAAAGAATTTGCGTTCATTCTGCTGCATGTGACCAGCAAAGCCAGCCTCCTGGAGATGAGCATTTGCATTCCTACTGCCCTCTTCCCAGAGGATCCAGGAGTCCACCCTGGTACCATGGGCAAACAGCATTCCTGTTTAAGGCACCAGTTGAAGGGGCTGGCTAGGAGGCAGGGACTTGAGTCCGTCAATGCAGAAGTGGGGGAAAGACCCGGGAAGTCTCATTCTCCAGTTTGGGTTGGGGCCATGGGATTACCCAGTGAGCTCACCCCAAGCAGTTGTTTTTGAGGTAATTAAGACAGCAATGCTTTTTCTTCTAGGAAAGACACAGTGCAGTGAATCTCAACCATTCATAGACTCTTATAGTTTCCAAGAACCCTTGTAGGTCCCTGCCTCTTTACAGATGAGTATACTGAACCCATTTATTCATTCATTGGACACATATTTACTACAGACCTATGTCTGCTTGAGATGGGCTCTGGGAAGACAGCAGTGCAAGAGTCAGGCAGGAACCCTGCCTTCCTAGAGCTGACAGTTCGGGGGAAATATTAACAATGAACAAGATTAATAAGTGAGATATACAGCTTGTCAAGTAGTAGTTGTTACGGAGAAAAAAAACGGCAAGGTAAAGGGTGTATGGGGAGGTAGGCAATTGGTGGAGAGGTGTTACTCCTTATAAAGGAGGCAGAAAGTCCTCATTGATAAGATGACTCATGAGTAGAGAGCTGACAAAATGGAGGGAGCACACCTCAGAGATATCAGCAGGAAGAGGGTTCTGGGCAGGGAGTGCAAGTTCAAAGGCCCTGGAGCAGAGGCCCGCTAACCATGTTCAAAGAACTACAGAAAAGCCAGAGAGGCTGAAGCACAGTGAACCAGTGGAAGGGGCATAGGAGTTAAGGTCACTGAGATGGCAGTGACACATTATGGGGGCCCTGAAGGCCTCTGTAAGGACTTCCCTTTTATACTGAGTGAAAGGAGAGGTCATTGGGGGTTTTGGTCACACAAGGAACATGGTCTTGTATTTTTTCTTTTGAAAACATTTTTTTGTGGTAAAAATACACATAACACTAAATTTCAGTTAAAAATAGAATTTAATTTGGGACGCCTGGGTGGCTCAGCAGTTGAGCGTCTCTGCCTTTGGCTCAGGGCGTGATCCTGGAGTCCCAGGATTGAGTCCCACATCGGGCTCCTGGCATGGAGCCTGCTTCTCCCTCTGCCTGTGTCTCTCCCTCTGTCTCTCTTTCATTAATAAATAAATAAAATCTTAAAAAAATAAAATTTAATTTAAATTTACCACCTTAGCCATTTTTAAGTGTATTAAATGCATTGCTAATGTTGTGCAACTATCACTATCCTCCATCTTCACAATTCTTTTCATTTATAAAAACTGCAGCTCTATACTCGTCCAACAACTCCCTATTCGTCCCACTCTCTGGCAACCAGCATTCTCCTTTCTGTCACTAGGATTTTGACGACTTTAAGTACCTCATGATAAGCGAGATCATATAGTATTTGTGTTTCTGTGGCTGGCTTACTTCACTTAGCATAATGCCCTCCAGTTTCACCCATGTTACCACCCATATTACTGAATTTCCTTCCTTTCTAGAATTGAATCATATTTCATTGTATGTATATACCACATTTTGCTTATCTATCATCTATCAATGAACGCTCGGGGTGCTTCCACATTTTAGCTATTGTGAAAAATGCTGCTGTGAACATGGGTAGTAAAATATCTCTTTAAGACCCTGTTTTCAATTTCTTTGGGTATGTACCCAGAAGAGGAATTGTCAGATCATATGGTACTTCTATTTTTAATTTTTTGAGGAACCGCCATACTGTTTTCCACAGCAGCTGCACCACTTTACATTTCTACCAACAGTGCACAAAGGTTCCAATAGCTCTACTTCCTCACCAACACTTGTTCTCTGGGGTCTTGTTTTTTTTTTGTTTTGTTTTGTTTTGTTTTTTTGTTGTTGTTGTTTTGAGGGTTTTTGTTTTTTTTTTTAAATAGTTGTCATTCTAGTGAGCATGAGGTGGTATCTAATTTTGATTTACATTTCCCTAATGTTCAGTGTCTTGGTTCATTCAGGTTGCCATAACAAAACACCTCAGACTGAGCAGTTTATAAACAACAGGAATTTATTTCTCACATTCTGGAGGCTGGAAGTCAGATGCTAGGGTGCCAGCCCAGTGTGGTGAGGGCTCTTCTCTAGGCCACAGTCTTCTCGCTGTGCCATCACAATGCCCAAGAAGTAAGGGAGCGCTCTAGAGCCTCTTTCATAAGGGCAATAATTCCATCCACAGGGCTCCACCCTCATGACTTCCCATTCACATCATGGTGTTAGTAATGTTGAGCATCTTATCATGGGTCCATTGGCCATTTTTACATTTTCTTTGGGTTGGAGAAATGGTTATTTGAGTCCTTTGCTCATTTTTGAAACAGGCTGGTTTTTGGTTTTTGCTGAGTGTAGGAGTTCTGTATATATTTTGGATATGAATCACTTATCAGGTAATCAAACTTGCAAATATGTTCTCCTATTCTGTGGGTTACCTTTTTACTCTGTTAATAGTGTCTTGTAATGCACAGAATTTTAAATTTTTTATGAAATCTACTTTGTCCATTTTCCGTGTTACCTACGCTTTTGGTGTCATAGCCAAGAAATCATTGCCAAGTCCAATGTTGGAAAGCTTTTGTCCCATATTTTCTTCTAAGAGTTTTATTGTTTTGAGCCTCATATTTATATCTTTGATCCATTTTGGGTTACTTTTTGTGTATGATGTTAGGTGTATAAGGGTCCGACTTCACTCTTTTGCATGTGGATATCCAATTTTCTAGGACCGTTTGTTGAAAAGATTATCTTTTTCCCATTGAATAATTTTGGCACTCTTGTCAAACATCATTTGGCTGTATAGGTAAGGGTTTATTTCTGGGCTCTCTATTCTAGTCCATCGGTCTAGCCACCTGTCTTTGTGCCAGTGCCACACTGTTTTGATTGCCGCAGCTTTGTAGTAAGCTTTGAGATCAGTAAGTATGAGTCCTTCAGCTTCTTTCCTCTATTTCAAGATTGTTTGTGCTATTTGAAGTCCCTGGAGATTCCATATGAATTTTAGGATGGATTTTTCCATTTCTGCAAAAAAAAATTCATTGGAATTTTAATAGGGATTGCATCAAATCTGTAAATCATTTTTGTCATATTAACATTTTTACAATATTAAACCTTCTAATCTGCGAACATGGGAAGTGTTTCCATTTTTTATGTCTTCCTTAATTTCTTTCAACAATGTCTTGCAGTTTTCATTGTACAAGACTTTTTCTCCTTGGTTAAATTTTCTTAAGTAGTTTATTCTTTCTGATGCTATTGTAAACGAAGTTGTGTTTGTAATTTCCTTTTCAGATTGTTCATCGTTAGAATATAAAAATGCATCTGGTTTTTGTGTGTTGATTTGTACCCCGCTACTCTGCTGAATTCATTTATTAGTTTTAACAGTTTTTTTTGGGGGGGAGGAGCTTTATAATTTTCTATATGTGAGCTCTATTATCTACAAGCAGATAATTTTACTGTTTCCTTTCTAATTTGGATACCTCTTATTTCCTTTTCTTGCTTCATTACTCAGTCCAGAGCTTCCATTACTCTATTTATAGAAATGGCAAAAGCAGGCATCTTTGCCTTGTTCTTAATCTTAGAGGAAAAGCTTTCAGTCTTCGAACCATTGAGAATAATATTCACTTCTGGCTTTTCATATTTTCTTACTTATATTTTTAAATCCCTCTGGTTAGAGCCTTATGCTGATGCCTGGGAACTAGCAGCACCGGGATGTTGCTGCTGGAGAGGGAGCAGTTCTTGATGGAGCTGACCAGACTCTTCCAGAAGTGCCAGTTGTCGGGCAGCGTGTTCATCACCCTGAAGAAGTATGATGGTCGAACTAAACCCATTCCAAGGAAAGGTTCTGTAGAGGGCTTTGAGCCCTCAGACAACAAGTGTCTGTTAAGAGCTACTGATGGAAAAAAGATCAGCACTGTGGTGAGCTCCAAAGAAGTAAACAAGTTTCAGATGGCTTACTCAAACCTATTGAGAGCTAACATGGATGGACTGAAGAAGAGGGACAAAAAGAGCAAGAGTAAGAAGAGCAAAGCAGCACAGCGAAGGGCACTGCATATCCTGCTCTCGCCAGTTCACCACCCAGTTACTGTTTTTCCTTTGGTTTTTCCTTTTTGCCACAAAGCTAGGTTTCTCATTCCTCTGTGATAACTTTTCATGTGAGAAGAGGCTCATTTTGGATGGAACAAGGGCTGCAGTATTTACAGGATAGTTGTAAGAAGCCAAGTTTATTTTAGAATTGGTTGATTGGTTTGTGTTGCAAGGTTATATATCCTGGGATTATAAAGTCTCTGTAGTTATCTGTGTGAAGAACAATGGATCATTAAACCTATATTTATCTGCAAAATAAAATAAAATAAAATAAAAATAAATCACTCTGGTTGCTGTTTGGGGAATTAAGTTATTGAGTGAGAGGGGCTCAAGATAGAAGCAGGGAGACCACTCATGGACAATAACAATAATCCATGCAAGGAATATTGAAGCTAGAAGCAAGATAGTGGCAGTGGGAGAAAGTGGGTAATTTTTTAGATATATTCTGAAGGCTGAACATATGGGATTTATTGACAGATTGGATGTGGAACATGAGAGAAAGAGAAAAGTTAAGGATGACTTCAAGGTTTTAGGTCTGAAGAATTGGAAGTGGACTTGCTATTTACTAAGATGGGAAGTCTATTTTAGATATATTAAATTGAACCTCTCCTACTTGTTTACCAAAATGCTGAGTTAGACATCTATGTGGAGGCATCGAGGAGGGAGGGGATATATGAGTCTTGATTTTAGAGGAGAGGTCCAGGGTGGAAACATAAATTTGGGAGTTATCAGTGTATTAATGGTATATGAAGCCACAAGTTTGGCTGACATTCTTAGGGAGTGAATGGGAGAGGAGAGGAGAAGAGAAAAGAAGAGAAAAGAGAAGCCACCACTGGGCCTGGGTACGTTAGCACTGGGAGGTCAGGGAGATGAGGGGAAAACAGAAAAGACTAAGACATTAAATGAAGTACCTGAAGCCAGGTAAAGAAAAAATTTCAGGAAGGAAAGAATGAACAACAGTGACAATCACCACTGATAGTCAAAATAGGACCTTTTTTTTTTTAGCAATGGGGAGGCCATTACAGGATTAGGGAGGAGACTTCAGTGGAATGGGGAAGACCAACAAGAGCTCCAAACACAAGTCCCCTTTGATGAGTAAGAGTTACTTACTCTTCAAATGTTTGCTTCATTCATTCATTCCAGCAGATATTTATCAAGCACTTATGATAATAAAAGCAAAGATAACATTTATTAAGTACCTGCCAGGTGCCAAACACCGAGTTTTACATGACTATCTCATACAATACTCATTTCCACAGTAAGAGATTGGTACAATTTTTCCTGTTTATGTTGGAGTCCAGGTGGTAACTTAGGCCTCTCTTTTCAGAAGCCTGAAGTTTTTTTAATTGTGGTAAAAAACACAAACATAAAATTTGCCATTGTGACCATTTTTTTACAGATTTTATTTATTTATTCATGAGAGACACATACACAGGCAGAGGGAGAGGGAGAAGCAGGCTCAGTGCAGGGAGCCCAAACGCAGGATTCGATCCCTGGGATCACGCTCTGGGCTGAAGGAGGCGCTAAACCACTGAGCCACCCTGGCTGCCCCATCGTGACCATTTTTAAGTATGTGGTTCAGTGGTGTTAAGTGTATATTCACATCACTGTACAACAGATACTCAGAACTGCAAAACTGAAACTCTGTACCCATTAAACAATTCCCCATTTCCCCTTTTCCTGAAGCTGGTGGCAACCATCATTCTACTTTCTGTTTCTGTGAATTTGACTACTTTGATACCTCATATATCCCAAATGGAATCCTACAGTATGTGTCCTGTGACTGGTTTATTAGCATAATGTACTCAGGGTTCATCCATGTCATAGCAATCTGTCAGGATTTCCTTCCCTTCTAGGCAGAATAATATTGCGTTGTTTGCATACACCACATTTTGCTTATCCATTCATCTGTTGATGGACATTTGGTCGCTTCCACCTCTTGACTACTGCAAATAATGTAGATATGAAGATGAATGTGCAAATATCCCTTCAAGATCCTGCTTTCAATGATTTTGAATATATACATGAAATCTAGATTATTAATCAATGCCCTATTAACACAATGCCTGGGAGAGGCTGGTCCTTTCTTAATGGAGCATGTCTAGCAGGAAACAGACACTGAACACCTAACTCTGGGTGCTATGAGTGTGTAAAGACCAGGGCGTTAAGGGACAGAAATAGATGGGAGAGCCTACTGGAGGAAAAAAAAGATGAAATTCCAGACCCTGACCCTGAGATCCTCATGGAGTATAAAAAAGTAGCTGACTTTATTAATCAAAAGGACTTAAACTCAATCTATAACCTTCAGATGGTGAAGTCTCATGGTTTTAATGTACCCAGAGTCAACTGAATAAATATTTTAGATTTCCAAAGCAAAATAATGATGATGATGACAGCTATCTTTTACTGAGTGCTTGCCCTGTGCTAGAAACTATGCTGCAAGCTTGACACACGTTACCTTATTGAACCTTTGTAATAAGCTTGCACTGTGAGTGCTGTTATTATCCCGCTTTTACAGATGAGGAAACCCAGGCCCAGGGAGGTGAGCTCACTTGCCAAACTCTCAGGTGCAGGCTCTTGTTAGCCACTCCCTTCTTGCCCTTGGCCCCTGACCCTCTCTTCCCCTGGTGAGCAGGTGAAGCTCCCAAGCTTCGGGCTGTGCAGGCCACACCCCATTTCCAGAAGTGAGGCCTTTGCCACTGACACAGGCACCAGTGGATTTCAACACTGATTTCCTCATCTTTCCTTTCCAATGTGTGACCCACTGGCCCTGTGATGTGGGGACAATCAGGGAAAGGGGGTAAGGGAGCCGAGAGGCCTCACCTCTTGCCTGAACTGCCACATTGCCTCACACTGCTGCCTCTATGTCTCCCAGCCTCTACATCCCCTGTGCCACAGGGCAGCCTGAATGATCTTCTAGACATGTAAGCCAGATTAGGTCACTCCCACAGCTACAATCTTCCTGTAGCTTCACTCTGCTTCCAGAATAAAAGCTGCCCTCCCTACCTTAGCCTCTGAGGTCCCACGTGCTGCTGCCTTTCCCACCTCACCCAAGATTGCCATCAAGGGGTGGCCGAGCCAGCTGGGTCTCATCTGCTGTCCACTCTTTGCTCAAAGGTCCCTCCTCCAGAAAGGCCTTCCCCAACCATCTCAGGAAAATTAGCCCATCTCTTCCCTGTTACTCCCTACCACAGAACCTTAAAAAAAAATCAGTATTTTTTTACTTTGGTAAAATTTAACATAAAATGGTAACATAAAAATTGCAGGTGTATGCTTCAGTGGCATTAAGTACATTCCTTATTGTTGCTTATTCCTTTATTTGCTAACTTGTTGGCCACCCTTCTCCAGTAGTCTCCTTGGACACAGGAATCTTGCCTGTTGGGTCCTGATTGTTAGCACAATGACGTAACAGTCCAGCTTAGGGCAGGTGCCCCATCAGCATTTTTAAGTGAATGAATGAATGAATAACACTGCAGATGGGCCAGCCTGTTGGGCACAAGATTAGTCACTTCTAAAATGAGTACATGTTTGAAACACTAAAATGCTGACAGGCATTCACAGACATTATTTTTTTGAATTTCTCGCTTTTTTAAATCAAAATTTAATATAAAATTTATAAGAGTAACAGATACACTACCATCCTTAGAAATGAAAGTATCTGCACAATAAACAAAGCATCAGGAAGTAGGAGACTGAGGTTAAATAAAAAGAGAAATCAGGAAAGTGCTCCACTGATCTAACAGTGTATCTGTGCCCCCGAAGTCTGATAAGGGGAAGGTTTGGGGTGTCCCAGGACAAGGACCCAGTCTCTCCATCCTTCCAGGGAGCCCTAAGTACTGTGGTTGGAGTATGTGCTCTTCTTAGGCCTTGTCACCGGCACCATTGTGAGGGGCAGGAGGAGTATTTCAGGAGAGAGAGCAGCCCGTTATGTGCCAATAAAACAACGACGGCACGAGCATAGCAAGGTTGGGGGAGGCGTCAGGATGCCAGCATTCACCCTGCTCCCCTCCCTTTTTGGGAGTCAAACTATGTCACCTGTTCCCTTTGCTATTCATGTCTTCTTCCACTTTCCAAGACAGCCATAGGTCCAATCTCTTATACATCCTGTCCCTGGGCTCCCTCCATGTGTGTGCGTGTGTGTGTGTGTGTGTGTGTGTGTGTGAGAGAGAGAGAGAGAGAGAGAGAGAGAGAGAGAGAGAGAATGTATGTGTATGCATGCATGAACATACGTGGGGGTATATATGTGTTTATGAGTATATACGTCCGTGATATTGTGATTTATAATAACAAATATATATCCCCGTCTTCATCCCTATGAAGCTCCTAAAACTTTTGGAATTTCCTAAATGCAAGGAGTGATACAAGTTTGTGTTACTCATGACAAGCCCCTTTCAACTACACCTATATTTTTTAGTGAGGTAACTTCTGGAAAGCTCCTAAGGATGGGAGCTGGCTGCCTGGTGACCTGGGAACTAATCATGATTATATGGTTGGAACTTTCAGTACCAACCTCTGACCTCCTGGGAAGAGAGAAGGATTGGAGAGAGGTTGAATCAATCATTAATGGTCAATGATTGAATCAATCATGCCTCTGTAAGGAAGCCTCCATAAAACCGCAAAGGACAGAGCACCAGAGGGCTTCCAGGCTGGTGAACACGCAGAGATCTGGGAAGAGTGGTGTGCTCCAGAGAGCATGGAAGCTCACCCCTTCCCCCGTACCTTGCCCTGGGCATCTCTTCCAGCTGGCTGTTCCTGAGTTATATCCTTTCATAATGAACCAGTCATCTAATAAGTAAATAGTTCTTCTGAGTTCTGTGAGCCACTCAAGAAAATTAATTAAGCCTGAGGAGGGGGTTGAGGGAACCTCTGATTTTTGGGGATCAGTACTATATCACCATTTTGATATATAATCTGATGCTAGAGCAGTCTCTAAAAATTCCCCAAGAACATACAATGATTAGGTAGAAAGTTCAAAACCTAGACTAACTCCATAGTTCATATTTCCAAGTATACTATGCCAGCCTGTCCACCAGAAGCGAAGTGGCAACCTGGACTTGCAGAGAACTCCGAAGTGGGGGACAGTCTTGTGGGACTAAGCCAGAACCTGTGCGTCTCCAGGTAGATAGCACCAGAACTGAGTTAAATTGTAAGATGTCCAGCCAGTGTCCACTGAGACATGAGTTAATTGCCTACCGGTATCAGGAAAGGCACAACAGAATATGTGTGTGCACGCATACACATATGCGTAGACTGTGGGTATGAAGTGTGTATATGTGTGAATGTATATAC